GCAGTACAACAGAGCACAAGAGCACACAAGACAATAGCACAGTGCAGTACAACAGAGCACAAGAGCACACAAGACAGTAGCACAGTGCAGTACAATAGAGCACGAAAGCACACAAGACAATAGCACAGTGCAGTACAACAGAGAAAAAGAGCACACAAGATAGTAGCACAGTGCAGTACAATAGAGCACGACAGCACACAAGACAATAGCACAGTGCAGTACAACAGAGCAAAAGAGCACACAAGACAGTAGCACAGTGCAGTACAATAGAGCACAACAGCACACAATACTGTAGAATACAGCGTAGATCAGTACAGTATGCTATAATACAGAGCAGTACAGATTACAGTATATCTCAGTATGTAACGGCACAGAACAGTACAGTGCAGCCTAACACAGTACAGTACTGAACACGACAGTATAGCAGTGTAGCTCCAGCTATATCAGCACAGAAAGTGCAGTATGGAAGAGCATAGTACAATACTGTAGTCAGAGTGCAGTGTAGCACTAGAGTATTTTCTGAGATCTTGTCTATGATAGGGCAGTATAGTCACGTTATGCCTGTCTGTGTTGGGTCACCGGGACACCTGACAAAGTCCTGTCAAAACCGCCGCAAGCTGACGTTCTGTTGTTCTGTTCTGCCCTCCCCTCTCCTTCCCACAATCCCCCAGCTGTGGCGCTTCCGGCCGTGGAACTTCGGCAGCCTGGTGTGCAAGCTGGCCCAGTTCCTGAGCGAGGCCTGCACCAACTCCAGCATCCTGCACATCACCGCGCTCAGCATCGAGCGCTACCTGGCCGTGTGCTTCCCGCTGCGCGCCAAGGTGCTGGTGACCCGCGGCAAGGTGCGGGCGCTGATCGGGCTGCTGTGGGCCGTGGCCCTGCTCAGCGCCGGGCCCGTCTTCGCCCTGGTGGGCGTGGAGGAGCTGGAGAACGGCGCGGGCAGCGAGTGCCGCTCCACGCAGTACGCCACCAGCTCGGGGCTGATGGCGGCCATGATGTGGGTGTCCAGCCTGTACTTCCTGGTGCCCGTGTGCTGCCTCAGCGTGCTGTACGGCCTCATCGGGCACAAGCTGTGGCACCGCCGGCACAGCTCCCACCGCGACAGGAGCAACAGGCAGACCGTGAAGATGCTGGGTGAGTCTCTTCAACATCAACTCGCCCACAAAGCCTGCAGCAACATCTTCGTGTGCAGAGAAAAACACCTAACAACGGGTGCAGGGCCGAATTAGGCCAACATCCATTATTAATAAACACAGAAGAGGGTAATAAAGTATTGGTTACACCTAAAAAACGGCGACCAAAACTCCTGTGCTGTGACAAATATCCCAGAGTATCTGCCACAGTGCAGTAGGGAGTGCACCTCTGTCTCTATTTCTCCCCACTGGCAGTGGGAGCACAGCCTGTCCTCTCTGGGCAGCCAGGTCTGCCTGTGTCGCCCAGTTTCTATGGCCAGGCTGTGGTCACTGAGTTTGTCCTCTCTGGGCAGCCAGGTCTGCCTGTGTCGCCCAGTTTCTATGGCCAGGCTGTGGTCACTGAGCCTGTACTTCGTCAGGGTCTGTTTCTTTTCACTGTTATTAAGCTTGGTCAGATATTCGGCTAGTTTGTATTGTCTGTTTAGGACTCTCTAACAGTCCAGTTGATGTTGTGTGTGTGAGACACTGCTGTTTGACCTGTGCAGTGATGTGGTCTCTCACGCT